TTGCTTTAGGTATTCAATTATACAACTTACAATCCAATTGAACTAATAGTACTATAGGAATTGTGTAGAAAAGATCTTGACTTGTGCAGAAAAGAAGAATTGTAATTTGTATGTGTATTATGACTCTGAAATTCAATAAAAACTACTTATATTTACTAGCAATTTTATAAACCTCTGATAAGATTTTGCTTATTAAGAAAAATATTATAGTAAAAGAGGGGTTGCCAAACAGGATTATTTACAAAAATACTATTTTAACTTATAAGCTATTTTCATGAAATATAATAGTATTTTTTTATGATAGGTTACCAAACAGGGCCTAAGTGGTAGAGTATCAATGCTGTGGAAAACTGTACTTTTGATGTGAACGTAGCCATCAATGATAACATTTATCACTTAACTGTACTATTATTTACAGACAGCCTAGGATCCTATGCTAGTATAGTGATAAAAACCTCCAACTACAGTCTGCTTACCTGCTATAAGCAGTTGAAAACCCTCTGAAATATAAAAACCTGTACCCAATAAAATGAGACTGAATACTATAAACTAAAAACCTCTACTGATATGTAGCAATAAAGAAAACCTCAGCCTAATAGTAAGACTAAGTTATCCCTCCAAATTAAAAACTCTAAGTTTCTGAAGGAAAAAAAATTCTCTTTATACTCTCCTACTACTATAGCTAAAATTACTCTAATCTATAGTACTTCAATCATATCAGAATATTCCTGCTACTCTGATATAGTGCTAGAAAAGATAGACCAGCCATATAAGAAAGGGGGACAGAGGGTAGATAGATGTACTAGTAGTAACTGCCTAAAGGAGAAAGTATTAAAACCCATTAAAAGAAGCTAAATCAAGCCATGTCATTGGCACAAGTGACCCATACCTACTGAAATACAAAATAAGAAGCAGTGTGGTACTGGCTAAGATATGAATGACTCCCAGAAGACCTAAGCCATAATGAAGAGAATTCAAACTGGAGGAGGAGGTAGACAAGGCCACTTAGCAGAGGTGATACCAGTCCAGCAGAGGGAATATTAACTAGCAGAGCAGGTATTAGTCCAGCAGTAAGGTACAAATAGAAGATTAGGTGATACCTGTAGTGATATCAGAGCTAGTAGTAAAAAGACACTAATCTTGACTAGCTAAGAAGAAGCTGGTAAAAGAGTGACTTCAGAATAGTAAGTAGGACAGCCAAGTCTCTACAGTATAGTGCTACCAGATCCTATAAGAGGAGAGAAAAGGCTAAAAGAAGGAGAGGTAGAATACTATAACTGAAGATTATATACCAAAATCATAGAAGTCAGTCTAAGTCCTAACATAATACAGATGTCTGTAATACTGCATCTCTCATGCAGTCTTTTTTTCTCCAAAAGATACTAGTAGTATCACTTAGTAGATAAGATCTCAGCACCATGCAAAGTAAGGAGGCAAGGAACCAAGATAGCTGATAACCTAAATAACTACTAAACAGTCTGATTATGAGATCCCTTCTTCCTAAAGCTGACTATGCTAATGCTAAGTAAGCCTAACAAAAGTGAAATAGGAGCAGAAATAGGAATATCATGAAATAATTTCTAGGAGAGAAACAAAGTCCTTAGTTGTTAAGAATCCTACCGAGTAGAACCGAGCGACAGGTAACGATACTTTTCTTGAAGTAAGGTGATAGTTCTCAGGCCTGTACCTACGCGATCCCGATAGTCCAGTCCTATGACTACTATCTTGTTCACGCCTATCTCCTTATCCTTCTCCTTAGTCCTCGCTTGGGACTTAATCTCTCCTTATGGGAGGAAAGACAATTTCTCGGGTTTCTTAAGATAAATCTTAAACAGCGTAAAGGTAGATTTTATTGATAATAACTTGAAAGTAGGAAATAAACAAGAAGAACGTGTGAAGAACTAATACTTCGGGGTCCTAGTGATCCCTTATATAGTAGTTCTTCACCTGGCGTGACTCATACCTCGCGTCATGCGAGCCCTGTGACTCAAACTCATGAGTCATGCAAAATCTATCAGTCGACTTGTATGAGTCATTGCGCAACATGCCTAAAACCAATCAAAACATAATAACCCAGTCAGGTGCGCAACTCGTGTCACCTGAGTGAAACCCATAACTCATAAGTTGAGTCATGTGCGAAAATCATAACATCATGTGACTCACAACTGTGAGTCACGAACAGGTAAACATAATAACCTATGGCGCACTAATGCGCGTTATGTGAAATCCCAACATACCTATAACTCGGAAGTCCGAGCTATGTGAAATCTGCCTCGCTTAGTCACAGTTTGTGACATTAGTATAATTAACTTCAGAGAGAGTTCTTAAAGGCAAGAGTACTACAGACTAGGAGGAAGGTGACAAGTGAGGAGGAATCATCTACACCCAATTAGAGGAGCACAGGACTTGAAAACAGTTATAATAGTTCACTAGTATTGAGTCATTCCTAATTAGAAAATAATTTTTAATGACCAGAATTGTAATAGTAACAGAGAATATATATTATTATAGTCTTTACATTAAATAACTCTAGTATTATACTTGCCTTCTTTTCAGAATCTTGCTCCAACCACCTCGAAACCCAACTCAATCTATCTTTTATTTTTAGTTTACTGGAATTCTAAGTAATTGCTACTAATATATTATTAGCTAACTGAACATTATTTATATTTGAAAAATAATTAGAAGTCAAAAGGTAAAAAAGTAAGTCACTACAAAAGTACTAGTAGAAAATAACCTGAATAGAAGTAATAGTCAAAAATATATTTGAAACTAGGAGAGAATTCAAAGATAATAGTTAAACTAGTAGAGAATTCGCTGTTAAAGATATCATATAATAACAACTTAAATATGGACAAGGAATCAGAATCCAAGATTAAGAAATGAAGATTTATTTATAGAAATATGAATAACTCAATACCATACCCAACACACCAGCCCACAAAACCCTCTTAAAGTATATCATAAAATGTCACTCCGAAAAAAAAAGTTTTATCACACTTGCTTTAGTATCATACTGGTACTTGGTTCTGCAAACTATAAGCGAAGCAAAATAGGAGCGTAACCGGCGATTAAATACCAAAAAAAATACCAAACAACTGGAAAACAATAATTACGCTTACTGCCAGCTCCCCCTCGAGACTTCGAGGGCCCGTTCCTAGTCGTAGTCATAATATCACCACCCGTTTTTACACAATCCCGTTGTAAGCCTCATATACCTTTTTCCACCAATCAAAGAATCTTCTGCCTACGCTTTATTTCCATGGATGTTCCAAGAGTTTTCCATAATGTCACAATCTATGGATCGATTGTAAAAAGTAATTCGAACAGGACCCTACTCGTACATCGAACTCCTGTAACACAATGGATTTGTTGTCTTAGTTTTGGGCTTATTAAGCGCGATCTCCACAATTCCTTGAATTCCACCACCAGCCGTGAATCGAATTGAGTAGTGGTAATTGTTGCCGCCGTACCACGGGTATCTCCCAAAGGGATACCTCTTCAAGCGAACGAGAGCCTTGTAGGCCTTGGATACTAGTGGGTGCGTGTCCAGAGAGCCCTCTTGCCCGCACAATACAGTCACCCACACCACGGTGATAGGCAGATAAGTATACATTCTACATATGCTTTGTGTCGGGGCGTGATCAAAAGTATTGTCTGCTGAAAGACTGCGAGTGTCCTCTCCCATCCATCAGCAGCCATCACGCTTCACCAAGATACGATACGATATCTTAACTCACTGCTTGTCCATTCCTCCTTTCCCTCGTCCCCCCTCCTCCTGCTTTGCATCCATTAAAAATATCCTACCGAATCCTCTTGAAATCCTCAATCTTCTCCTCCCATCCCGTACCCACATCCTGCGTGCCCTTCGTCTGGACTTCCCCTGCTTTACACCTACTCCGATACAAGTTCTTCGCCTCTTGGACCTTGCTCACCACTTATCACTACCCTATCCCCACTACGACAGCTACCGTACATCTACCTTCAATTTCCCATTTTCTACCCCTCGTCGCTACTTCTACCGTACTTGCCCTGCGGTACGACCTTTGTGCTTGAGCTTTGAGTAAGGGCTTTTGTATATTCTCCAACGGTAGGAATCACTACGCCGGCCTCCCCTCCCAAACTCTTTTCGCCGCATCCTGCCGACTGTAACTTACTTAACACCACGCTTCATCAAAAGCCTTCCCTCCCCACACACATCCTTCCACCGCATCCCCTCCTTCACCCTTAACGCATCCCTCGTCTCCTTCCTCCCACCGCCACCCCCCCCCCTCCCCCCCCGCCTCCCACGCACCCCGAAAAAGAATGAGCAGCGGTCCCTGTCGCCAATAGAATGACAGCGCAGAACAGCTCGACACCTTCAAATAATACCAATTCTGATATCCATAATTACCCGCACCAAAAACCTCCATCCGTATCCGATCACGCCTCTCTCGGTGCCATTCCTCATCATCCCTCTTCCTCATCGCAGTATCGGAGCCTCCACCTGCCAAACAACTCCGATCTACATCGGTCCTTTTCGGCCTCTGCCTTCGGCCAGACTACTTACGCTACTTCACAGAACTCCCCTCTCTCCGTAATTCCTGATCCAAGGGGTGCCGCCGTTGTCTCGTCATCGTCTTCTCAGCACCTGCAACAGCCTTCCCAGCTGCTGCCTACATCTTCCTCCATAACGCTACCGTCAGAATTTACAGGCTCGACGGCGAAGCCCCCTGAAGGCGGTGGTGGAACCGGGAGTGCGGGGTCATCGCGTTTGGTGAAATTAGGCCTTGCACACCTTAGCCTATTGATAAGCACCTTGACTGAGAGTAACTACGAAAATAAGCGTAAAGAGATTCGAGAGGTGAGCTCCCACTTTCCTTGCCAGAGAGCTCACCTTTTCGGACGGCCTTGTGTCGTGTTGTGCTACATGGGGACCTCCGCATATGATTCATAACATCCTCCCTCTGTTTTTCTCCCAATTGCTAACATTAGACTATGCTCAGCTCCTCAACGTCAGTATGGAGATCAATAATAGGACCATGCGGAAACTCATCTCCAATAACTACTCGCACATTATGTCGTCAACCGGTAGCCGGTCGTCACCTAGTCCCAATCACCGACTCTTGATAGAGACGGTTAAAGAGATTGCAAGTTCACCACAAGACGCGAAGGAAAAGTTTGCGGATGTGATTGCCGGAATGGCTAACGATGGCGAGGTGGCGAGGGACTTTGATTTGGCAATATTTCTCAGTCATTTTGGGCTGGACAGCCTCCAGAAATGCATACTGGCGGTAGGCTTAAAGCAGAATCAGAGACACGATCTCCGCAACAAGGGTATCAACCTTATTTATTCCACTCCTATGGAGAGAAGACTGCTAACTATCTGCGTCAAAGCTTATGAGATCATTCACAAGTCGTTCAGGTCAATGTTAGAGATTCTAGCTAACCCCTCCAAACACCCTGAACTGAAGCCGGAAGGGGTTGCCTTCTTCATCGACCAAATACTAGGAGAACCGGTGTATCCCTTTGCCGACAATCTCAAACGACTGGAAATTTCGTACGCTGCGAGGTCACGCTATAAAAATATGCAATTACCACCCGAAATCCTCCATGTCACCGCGCCGATCGAGAAGCTACGCCAGCAAGAGTCGCTAGTCCATATATTCTCTGTGCTGGGGCCGGAGAGTACAAGCTCGCTGGAAAATTGTAGAGAGGTTCTCAAACGGAAGTGGAAGGTTCAGATATCGGAGAATGAAATGACCGATATGTTGGTGCTGATGGCCACGGCAAGAAATCCTATCGAGTGGCATGCGGATTCTTTTGTGCGAGCTCTTCAGCATGAGAATTTGCCGCAATCCTTTAATTGGGAGTGTGTGATTGAGGGGTTAGATAGGGAGGATTTTGTCTTGGAGGGGACAGAAGGATTGCACGTCATTCTCACCGCTTTGCAGCATGGAAACACCGGCTCCGATTTTCCTATATACAAGCTCTGGGGTGGTAGATGGAAGCACCCGCGGTCACAGTGGTCTGTTCTTAGGGGGTATATCAAAGCAGACAATCTGGACGTGAAGAGGATTCCTGGCATCCGAAAGGTGTTCTCTTCAGTGGATTTCGCATCTTCTACTAGTAGCCTCAAGCTTATGGTCGCGACCTTCGAAACACATAAGCTAATATCCCTCGACGCTGTGGAGGCTCTTTTCCACCTTGCATTGCACGAATCGATTCCTCCTGATGTCAAACAGGCAGCGCAAGCAGAGCTAGACAAGGCTGCTAAGTTCACACCAGAATTACTCCTCTGCGGGGCCTTAATGATACCTAAGCCTTGGCCAGAAAGCTTAGAACATGTCATTCATAATCTGTTCAATATGTTTTTTGAAGGGCATACTAGCCATCAACTAGTATTTTGGCGGCTTTGGCATGTCGACAGGCCATTCATCATCGGCCAGTTTGTTGAATACCACCAAGGGAACAATCTGAATATCACACGTATCTTGGATATTGCCCAGGAGCTTCGATGTCTTAGCGACCTATTGGAGGTTAAGAATGCACCGTTCATCCTTGATGTTGGGGCTTTGGCAGCCAGAAGGGAATATCTGAATCTCGAAAAGTGGCTTCAAGAAATGATCAACAAGCATGGAAGCGATTTTGTGACAGAAACCTACCGATTCTTGCGGGTCAAAGCGGAGGCAGAGTACATTCAGACGAGAGAGGGTGGAAAGCCTAGTATGGTCAGTCTTAGAGTCGGGCCCGTCCACACCTTCCTCACTCTGCTCGATAAGAAGTAAGTTTTCCGGTCTATGATACCTATATCAGCCGCTAACTGTTTACGCAGCCATCCGCCAATGACCCAAGATATGCAAGAGAAGGTTACAGAAACCCAACGTTTGTGCATACAGGCTTACCCGCGGCTAATCAATCTTGGTTGTGGAATGGATTCCATCATCTTAGCGAATAATTCCGAGAGCAATTCATTCCCTCCCCTAGTCGACAAAGAAATGCAGCAGAATTATAAGATGATGTATAGCCAGGAGACCGAAATCAGTGAGATGGTCACCTACCTTCGCCAGTTAAAAGCGTCCTCAGTCTCCAAAGATCAAGACCTCTTTGCTTGTATGATACACGGGCTTTTTGACGAGTACCATTGTTACCCCTCATATCCACTCCAAGCGCTTGCAACAACCTCTGTGCTCTTCGGTAGCATTATTGTCTACAAGCTCATTGATGACATTCCTCTACGTGTTGCCCTGGCAATGGTGTGGCAAGCTGTCCGTGACCACGACCCTTCTTCGACGATGTACAAGTTTGGTTTACAGGCCCTGGTTCAATTCAAGGAGAGGCTCAAAGAGTGGAAATCTTATTGCGGCCTGCTTGCACAGGTTCCGGGGCTTCAGGGGACAGATATATGGAAGATTGTTCAAGACGTTATCAGTGGCAATGTTGACCGGCAGAACGAACCGTCAGTGAACGGCAGTGCCGATCAAGGGGAGCCAGGAGCTGTGCTGACCAATGGCAACTCCAATGCCTCGTCTCCCGAATCACCTCAGCACCCTCCATTTAGGTCTTTGGACCCCACTATGCCGCTTCGAGATCCATCGGCTTATACTGAGCCTGACGAGGAAGTTCAAGATAGGGTTTTGTTCATCGTCAACAACGTTTCTCATTCCAACCTGGAAGAAAAGCTGGAGTCTTTGAAGGAGCATTTGCGCGAGGAGCATCACCAGTGGTTTGCTGACTACTTGGTTGTGGAACGGGCCAAGCTCGAGCCCAACTACCACAAACTATACCTCGATCTTTTAGACAAATACAACGATAAGGGGTTAACAGCAGAGGTTTTGCGCGAAACTTATGTCAATGTTATCAAATTACTGAATGCGGAGACTACTCTAAACAGCTCGAATGAGAGGGCACATTTGAAGAACTTGGCTTGTTGGTTAGGAGGACTGACGATCGCAAAGGATAAGCCGATAAAGTTTAAAAATATCTCCTTCAGGGATTTACTCATTGAGGGATTTGTCACCGAGAGGCTCACGGTTGTCCTTCCCTTCACCTGTAAGGTTTTGGAACAATCCACCAAGTCGACAGTCTTCAAACCCCCTAATCCTTGGCTAATGGCTACCATACGAATATTGGTTGAGCTCTACCAACATGTTGAGCTCAAACTTAACCTGAAATTTGAGATTGAGGTTCTTTGCAAAAACCTAGATCTGGACATCAAAACCATCGAACCTTCGATGGACATCCGAGAAACCCGAGATAGGCCAGCGGAGAAGGAAGAGGAGAGCTTGCCGGTTGCCGAAGATCTTCCTTTGCAACCACAAGATTTTTCTCCCACTTCAGATCCGGTTCCCGCCGGGTTTGCCGACCATGTTATCGTCAGTTCGGTGGTTCAACACCCCGCTATCAAGCGTATTCTCCAGCTGGCCATAGATCGTGCCATTCGGGAGATTATTGGACCGGTCGTTGAGAGATCTGTTACTATCGCTAGCATTTCGACATCCCAACTCATCCAGAAGGATTTTGCGACAGAGGGTGATGAAGGAAAAATGAGGAACGCAGCGCATATCGTCGTTCAGCACCTTGCCGGAAGTCTGGCTCTTGTTACGTGCAAGGACCCGCTGCGGATGAGCATGCAGAATAATATCCGTGCTTTACTGGCCCAGAGTGGATACAATGAGCAAGTCATCACAGATCAAACAATTACTGTGTGTGTCAACGATAATATTGATATAGCGTGCCAGATCATCGAAAAGGCTGCCCAGGAGCGAGCTATTCCAGATATTGATGATGGGTTGAGCCAAGCGTATCAGCTAAGGAAACGACACCGGGAATTGAGAACTAACCGACCATTTGTCTCGCCTGATGTTTCTCAGGTTGCACTCCATCTCCCGGATCAGTTCAGGCTAAAGCCAGGTGGACTCTCCCCCCAACAATTGAGCATGTATGAGGACTTCAATAGGATGGCGAGGGTTCCAAACTCGGAGAATGCCAGAAATTCGTTCGAAGGTGCTTTCCCAAACGACTTCCTGCCAAGCGGAAGCACGGCTGTGGAACCCCCGCAGGCACAGCAGAGAGCTTCCGAACAATCACCTGGGGCGTCGGATGTTGGTCAAAAGGAAATCCAGTCTAAAATTTCGGTAAGTTTTGCGATACATCTCTATGGGGATTTGCTATTCTAATCTCACATTCCCCCTAGGCTCTCTTGGGCGAGGTGCGGAGACTTGCAAAAGAATGCCGTGAGCAACACCTCAAGGACCTACATGCCGAGCATCCTCTTTTCCAGCTCATCGAAGCTATACTAAACAATGCATCCCTGGCGCAACCCAACATGCCTCGCCTCAAGGACACTATTTGCACAACTGTAGCTTCCTCGGTGTGCCTCATTCTATATACGGATACACAAAATCAGATGGAGGTTGAAGCGCTTGGGCTTCTCCTGCAGAAAGTTTGCGAGCTTTCTCCACTCACGGCAAAAGACGTCGTCATGTGGCTTTCCCAAGGCCAAGAGGATGAGGTATGTACCTGTTGATACATATACATTTGTTTGATGCTAATTTATACAGCGGATGCTCAATGTCCCGGTTACAGTCATGCTTCTAAAGACTCAACTTCTCGCGCTCACCCATCTTGATTCCACCATTGCCAGGTCAATTAGCATGGGAAAACCCGCAGCGTTAGAGTTTTTGTCGCAGCTACTCAAAGAGACTGTTTCCGGTCAAAACCCTCTCGCTCTAAGAGCCGATTTTGCATCATCACTTGACGCCGTGGGCAGCTGGCTCAAACAAGATCCCAATAACAAGGTAGCTCTTGAATTGGCTGGCGACTTTCAAGATTCGGACAGGGAGGATCAGGATGTAGATCTCGAGGATCGCGAGAAGCGGGATCAGATTGAATATATATTCGCCGAATGGATATCTCTCTGCCAGTATCTTTTGACGACGGAAAAGAATTACTCCTCATTCATCATGCAACTTCATCAGACAAAAGCGCTGGCTGATACGGCATCCTCCTGCGAGTTCCTTCGAACTTGTATCGAGTTTTGCATTGTTGAGTATGAACAGTCAACCAGCACTAACCCGGCGGCCGCAACTAATTGCTATATACCCATTGACGCTCTTGCGAAGCTGGTCGTCCTACTTGTCAAATACCAAGGGGAAGGCGATCAGAAGGGGCAAGCGGCTGACAAGGCAGACTATCTGAACAGTACTTTGGCCCTGATCGTTTTTGTCTTCAATCACCATCATGAGACTCGCGGTGAACACTTTTCGCAAAAAGTGTTTTTCCGTTTCTTCTCTAGCATGTTGTACGAATACCACCTGATCGAAAACCAGATGAGGGGGTACCATGAGAGAATATTGGGTACTTTTGCAGAATGCTTTTTAACCATCCAGCCGGTTTTCTTTCCTATGTTCAGTTTCCACTGGATGACATTAGTTTGCCATCGTTACTTCATGCCCAAGCTACTCAGGCTCGAGGGCGAGAAGGTGAGTTTTTTCAAGGGCCAACAATCCCACGAACGCTAACACTATTGAAGGGTTGGCCGGTATTTGCGAAGCTTCTAGAGACCCTTTTGGTGTATGTTGGCGCACCACTGAAAGAGCGCACTATTCCACCAGTCGTAAAGCTACTTTATAGAGGGATTCTCAGGGTTCTTTTAGTGCTACACCACGACTTTCCGGAATTCCTTGCCGAGTGGCATTTCTCAATTTGCGAGGTCATCCCAGTCCATTGCACACAACTTCGCAATTTGATATTATCTGCCTACCCTTCCTCACTCTCGGATCTCCCAGATCCTTTCACGGCAGGATTGAAGGTTGATCGCCTGCCAGAGGTCAAAAAGGCGCCCAAAATATGCGGGGAGGTATTCCGACCCCTTATCGATAGTGGAATAAAGCAGTTGCTAGATTCATGCCTTAGTTCCTCCGAAGGTTTAACAAATGCAGCGATACAAGGAATCGTGGAAATGTTGGACACAGAGCCCCGAAAAGAGACTGGACTCGGATTTGCTACGATCACTGTAGACACCGCCATTATCAACAGCCTCGTCTTGTACCTCGGTATGGAGGCCATTCGTGAGGCCACTTCAAAAGGAGGCTCAACTTTCCAGGCGCAGAGCCCACATACCGCCCTGTTCTCAAGACTCGCAAGTGACCTGAAACCTCAGGCTAGATACTTTTTCTTGAGCGCAATCGCAAACCACCTGCGCTATCCTAACAGCCACACTCACTACTTCAGCTATCTGTTGCTCTACCTCTTCGGCCAGGTCCAGGACAAATCCAGCGAGTCCGATGTGAGGCAGCAGATCACCCGCGTCTTGCTGGAAAGATTGATTGTCCATCGCCCTCACCCATGGGGATTGATCATCACACTTCTAGAGCTACTCAAGAACCCAACGTACGACTTTTGGCAGCTGTCGTTCATCAAGACTGCACCTGAGGTAATTGTTTTACTCACTAAAAATGGTCATGATCCGTGATTGAGATAGCTCACACTTTACAGATTGAGAGGCTTTTCGGTGCTTTGTTCCAACACATTAATAACTCCCCTCCTCGTTAGTGAACAAAATAAGGAAACCTTCTCGCCACCTTTTCACTTTTACTCCTTTTCTTCTCTCCCCTTGTCATTTCCCCCCCCCCCCCCCCCTCCACAAAATCTTGCATATCTTGTCTTTTTTTTGTTCGGGGCGCGCTGGAGCTTTTCTTTTGTCTCGCCTTGTCTGTCGCAACTGGTGATCTTTCGAAGGGAAAAAAAAATACAAAAAAGTTATGTTGGGGTATTTAGATCGGGGGTTTTCTCTTTTCTTATTTTCTCCTTCATATTCACTACGATGATTAACCCTTAGTATCCCCACCTCTCCGAATTTCCCGTTCGATTTCTTATCATCCACCCTCCTCTTTTCCTCCTTCCGATAGTGAGGATGATGATTATGATGACGATGATAAAGAAACGAACGGGATAGATTAGCCTAGTTTCGACCGTATCATACCACATTGCAAAAAAAAAGAAACGAATCGAAACACTGAAAAGCCGTGTACCTTCTTCCCCCCCCTTTTTTTCCCTTTTACTTATTGTGCGCTTTTCTTTTTCTTTCTTACGATGACATACTGTACTGTTCCACTATCTTATTTTTTTTTTTCCGAAATTGTTCCGTGTATTATGTTATGGAACCTGATTTCGCAGTCTTCCGCTCTCCCCCCCCTTTCCTTCTTCTCTTTTCCTTCCTATGGGAATCTGGGGGACCGCTCACGATAGGGTTGTGTTTGTTATTGTTTCTTGCCAATCCGAACATGAGGGAACGGGGGCGGACTGGACGGGATTTTCTACGAAGGGGTTTTACCCGCCCGTCTCTTCTTTTTTGTCTTGCATAAAGGGTGTATTGATAATTTAAATTGGTTGGCTCATGGGATTTTTTTTATGCTCGCACATATATATACCGGTATTTGGGTGCCTATTACTGTTAGTAAGCGGCTGGGCAAAAGTCTTAGGTGATTTGGCATATTTACAAGTACGAGTACACCAAAATCCACCATTTTGAACCGTCTTTAACTAGTCTTCTACGCTGAACCTAAGCAGAAATCCTTCAAAAAAAAACTATCCAGGTAGTTATCTATGCATAGAGATACCACCTTCTAACTGCTTACACAATCCTCTGGTCCTTCCCCATCGGGCCCAAGAATTGGGATGTTGCCGTGGGGAGTTGCTGGGGCAACTGTCTTAGCAAAATTGTGAAAGCAACAATATTAAGAGATGGTTGAACTTTGCAAAATAGTAGCATCCCCACTCAGTGATAGGTATGCTGCAAGTTCATCACGAGATATAACATAGATGAAGTGACTCTAAATTAGGAATTTGGGAAAAAAAGAGATTCGGTTTTCGGTGAGATACCATAACCATCAATCGGGGAGGAGGGGTGTTTGCCCATTTTGTGTGAAACGGCCCAATTACCAAGACTTTTTCCCACCCGCTGTATGATCGGGCAGTAAGGTATTTCAGCAAGAAAGGAAAGAAGAAAAAAGGCTACCGGTACCTAGGCCACTATTGTACTCCAGCACACGTAGAAGTACTTGTACATAATACTGTACGTTCGAGTGATAACACGTGAACGGTGATGAGAATAGTTAAACGACCAGTAGTAGACCCGTGCATATTAATACTATATACCCCGCCAAGCGACAGCAAGACTGAAAAAACTAAAGGGGAAAAAGAAAGGAAGCCAAGCCAAACATGCGCCCACAGAAAGTGCAGAAACTCCACATAAAGAACATGAAAAAAGGCGATGCGTCAGTGATACCCCGGTGACACGACCATCTCTAGGAAGGGTCCGGGCAAGATGGAAATGCCCGGGGGAATGAAGGAGAGCGGGAGGAGGAGGGAAAAGAGGAGGGAGAGAGAAAAGAAGAGCCATGCTTTTACACCAATCCTCAATTGGAAATAAACAACCCTCATTCAACCCAACGGTCTATGAAGACTTATCGCCAACCGTAGCACTCCGACTAACCGGTGCAATTATATCCTCCTTGATCACCTTCTCGATGATTGCTGGCACACGCTTTGTCGGCCAGAGCGATTCTCTGATTAGTCTCTTGTAGCCAGCGACGGCTTCAGTCAGATCAGACTTTAGGACGTATTCGTTGTCACTGTGCGCAGTGAAGATCCTGACAGAATGTTAGCTATCAGTAGGCATTAGGGTCGGAGGAGGAGCGTACGAGCCAGGACCGTATAAGTAGCGTTTGTGGTCACCATGAAGGTTTGGGATATCAGTGCCGTAGGAACAGATAATCGTTTCAAAGTCTGTTAGAGGTATTAGTTCTGCCGACTAATAGCCAGTGGGGTTAAGGTACTAACTCTCAACGTCATGATCGGTTTCCTGCGGTCCATAAGTAACGCCAACAAATCTCAACTCGACAGGGAGGCTGTGAACGGTCTTCTTGATGACTTCCAACGTCTCGTCCAGGTCCCCGGCAAGACGGATGAGTACGGAAGCACTAGCGTAGGGAGAGATAATGTTTGTAGCAACACCACCCTGGATCAGCCCGATGTTGATAGTGGACTCGCCCAGAAGATCACTCTTCGGTAAAATCATGTGCTCAATCTTGTACAACGCCTCGACAAGATGACTATTAGCATTAACACCCAGTTGCGGGTAACCCGAGTGCGAGGCTTTGCCCCTGGCAACGATGTCGAACATGACAATCCCCTTGTGCCCCACAGCGAGTTTATTCTCCGTGGGCTCCCCGAAAATGACAGTCTTCCACTTGGGCCCCAACGAGTTTGCAGTTTTCATTCCATCCCCCAGTGTCTCCTCACCGACAACAAACAACAGTGAAACGTCCCCTTCGGTAATCACCTCCTCAGCGACCAGCTCCTCCACCGCGATTATCTGCGAAGCAACAGACCCCTTCGCGTCGTTCGAGCCACGACCATAAATTGTGTTGGAAGTAGCCTTGTGCGGGATAAATGGCGGGACAGTGTCAATGTGGGAAGTGACGAGTGTGTAGGTTGTCCTGTTTTTGCCCAGGTACGCAAATATGTTAATCCTGTCCCCACTCACTGTTTGAGTCTCCACGGTGAAGTTCTTGCCCATGAGATACCCCGCAAGCCATTCCCCGACACCCCTCTCGTTTCCCGTGATGGAGGGGATTTCTATGAGCGAGCGATGCAGGGAGTAGAGTGGTGAAGTGCTTATTGGGTCGGCGAATTTCTTGATAAATTCGGGGACCTTGAAGGAAGCTCCCAGGGTCGAGCGTATCCCCTGGACTGCAGTGGGGATTCCAAAAGGGAGTTGAAGGGCTTGAGTGAATGGTAATAGTAAAAACCCGAGGGACGCAGGGTCGATGAGTTTCATTTTGAAGGTTTGAGATTATGTTTTGGTCAAGTTTACTCTTCTTATCTGAAAAAAGGGGAAAAAAGGGGGGGTGGTGAGGGAGAAGAAATAGGTGGGGTGGTTCGAGAAGAAATCGAGACAAACAGACGAGTAATGCGTGAACACGGCTTCCAAAGACGTGGATATTCCGAGGGTCAAACGGACAAGCCAAGAAGAGGGGGAGGGATCGAGGGAGACAGGGACGGGGGAGAGGGATGAGAGTACTGTAGAGGTGAAAACGAGAAATGAAAAACAAAAACAAGGACAGTAGGATTTGAGGTAGAAGTGGGAAGAGAGATACAGAGATTTATTATGTAATCCATTCCCAAAATAAACGATTATCAGATCATATCGCTTCCATAAGGGACAAACACCAAAGATTATCTTAAGCCAAACCTAAAACTTTGGGAACAACGGAGAAACCAGTGACGCTGCCAAGACCATCATATTCGCCCATTACCGCAGCACGGTATCATAAAAGTACTCGAGGAGTCTACACATTTCTCCGATCTCTGGGGATCTACTGTAACCCAAATCAGAGTATCATACAGTGCCTTAAGTTACTCTGCGGTATGATACGGTACCGGTACCAGGTATATGATATTGTGATACCGGCACGGCCTCGGCAGGGTAACCCCAATTATCTAGCAGGAAAGAAGGAACCAATCGCACCACCGGGTAAGGTAAGCCCTGTTCACCCTCTCACCTATCATTCCAACTGCAGCCGCTCAAAGTTACCGTGCCCCCTCCCTCCTTGATGCTCCTCCTCAATATTGCTGGTTCTACTGCTTCCCATCAGCACCCGACCCGCAATAGCCTCCACCATTCCTTAACCGCAGCATCCCATCCCATCTCATCCCGGAAGGAAAAAGAAAAATTATGGATATCGATGACCTCCTACAGGAATTGGACGACAACAAAGTCCCGGGCGGAACACGCGACATAAACGATCTCACACAATCGTGGATAGCGGAACGAGCGGCACCGGAGATTCTACCTTTTCAGACCGCATTGCTGGAAAGGTTAATGGAACGGATCCGACAGCAGGTACTTGAGCTACTGCATCTCAATTTTTGTCCTATTTTACTTTTCGTGGGGGGGGTTCGGGAGTTAATCTCGAGAGGATTTTTGCAAGTGATACAGATCGAACTGGTAGAGACACAGACCGGAAATTTGGACCCGAAGACGAACTTCTGCCTCATCCTCATCCAGACAGAATTGGAGAGGGTCAAGTTTCTTGTCAGGAGTTATCTTCGGGCGAGGATACATAAGGTACGATTGTGTCTGCACTTGCCGTAACATATGGCCTCCCTTTCCCTCTTATTTCCCCTAAATTAAATAAGATGAGAGGGCTAAAAGATACGCTCCCCAGATCGATAAATATTCAATACACATCCTAACGACACCCTCCATCCGTGGTAGGCTATCACCGCCCGAGTTGTCGTACCTGAAATCTCACCTCGGATTGCTCAATTCGCACTTTTTGGCATCCTTTCTTCGCCGATTTCCCGAACAGTTGCGCCGGCTGGACGATAAGGCCGGAGGTATATCCATGGTCGAGGAGCCGGACCTTGATAGCGCCGTGTTCTGCAAGGTGGTCAAAGATATTGAGGATAATATCGCTACGATTCCGGGTACGGATGCCGAGTTTAGGCTCACGAAGGGCGATGTCTACGTTGTTCGATACAGCGCCGTCCGGGAATTCGTTCTCCGTGGAGAGGTAGAATTGATATAATGGCGAAGCTATGACCATATATCCCTACTCTGCCTTTTTCCTTACCTTTTTTCTTTCGAGTGACGTTTTCTTTCCTTCTTTAGACGATTTTATCATAGATGAGCGGGGATCGTATCATAGCCGGCGTTTTATGGCGCTTTTAAGGGGGGAAATTAGTCTCGCTTATTTGATGGGTTCTTTAGCTAATAATGAAGGGGGGTATATAATATACTTTACACCTCAATATGAACATTACAGTACCTGAGGATATCATCTAATTCCCACCACCTGAGAATCGAAATCTCCCCTCTATCCATGCAACGTCAATCAATAGCGGTACAGTACGAGTACAGAAAAGCCCACTGAACAGCCTTGTACTAACTAGTAGCAGGCAAGAAGTCTCAGGAAGTAAAAAAAAAAATAGAAATAAAGGAAAGGAAAGGTAGGTCATGAGTTTGTACCAGTATGGGCATCCGGGTAGGCGCGGATTGTCATACACTTTGGGGATTCCTGTTTCCGGATGCTACTTGTACTCGAGCGAGTACCGTACTCTGTCCCCTGCGGGCACCACCCCATTGAAGCTCCTGCCGGTATGATATTCAAGTTCCCTTACCGGTATTGTTATAATGTTATGCAACAGCCGAAACAGGCAGACAAAAAAACGCTCATCCCAGGAAAGAGTCACGCTCGCACAACCATCCAACAAAATACCCTGCCGTTAGGTTAAAGTGTAATTCCGTTCATTCCATGCACAGCCCGAAAGCATCTACCGAAAGCAGAAAAGTACGATGCCCACTGCCACCAGTCTATTGCATGATCGTACTTGTATGTACAAGTACCACCGGCATCTATGCTTAGTACCGAGCCCGAGGGATCGCAACAATGGTGCCGTACTGTACGAGTACTCGAGTACTAGTACTCGTACGTGTATCACAATGTTATATCGTAAAAGGCCATATCAGCAATTCTGTTGGCATCCTTCCTATTGCATACCGGTAGTCGTACTGTACGAGTACCGTACGTAAAGTACCGTGGGTAACCCACGGGAGGGAAAGTTCGTAAATTTAAAACCAAATGAATGGTACCTGCCGTCCAGCGCTCATCCCGATTCACTCCTCCCACTTTGCAACCACCCAATGGGTTCCCTCCTACCTGTCACATACCGGTAATTTAAGTATCACAGATCTACCAGATTAGCTACCGGTATCATATCATACTTGTACTTGTATCATGCTCGTACGAGTACTGTATGATACTTGAGTATGATAGGTACTATCATGGTACAGTACCTCCAACCAGCTATCGGCACATCCAACCGGTAATCCGGAATCCCAGATCTCCTCGACCGCCGCCATTCGCCTAGCACCCCAAGTAACCGGTACGGTACTCGAGTACACAGAGTACCGGTAATTGAGAGTACTCGGTACAGTATTGGTTCCACCATTGTTTCACCTGGCAACAATTTCGGCTCCCACCCCAACCCCCACCGCGTTCCAGTACCTGGTACTTGCGCTGTAATTATGCATGTTGTAGGTTTTGGTTTGTTTTCCGTTTTATTCTTTTTTTTCTTCTTTCTTTCTTTCTTTCTTTCTTTCCCTTTTTCTCTTTTTTTCTCTTACTTTCGCTTTTCTTCTTTCACATTTTTTTTTTCTTCCTCTTCCCGGATAAAGCCCCTCATCTCATCCTCAACGGGTAAACTCAAATACCGGTAATCGCGGGATAAAGGGCCAATACTACAGTAGCTGATCCTTTAGAGCCCTATGGGCGAAAGGGATACAGTTAATCTGTGCCATAAAGCGTCGAATGAACCATGTGCTGGCGCGGCAGAAATGGCATTATATGATACCGGTACCTTCCGAAGCGATTCTGGGCTGCCGGTGTTGCGCGCAGGCCCTTATCATACCCTTGTACCCGGTCCCGCGATTCCGGGGTTAAAAGTTCCTCCGGCAGCCGTGGGGATGCGGCTCCTAAAACCTACCATCCTGTGAAACCCGGTCTTTGCTTTCCCACACGTGTAGGCTCATCTGTGCGGAGCATGTCACCAAGTTACAATTCCAAGTAGGGTACCCTAGCATCCAAAGCTACGGTAGCTTCCCAATGTCACAAGCTATCACTCGCCATTCCTCGGCACACGGCCACGGTCTCGGGGTAGCCCCAACGCAGCACAATTTCCCCATAGCTCTCGAAATGTGGCGGAAGATATTGTGAAGTTGACCACCAGGAGAGGAATAGAGAGCACTATTGCGCCATGCAGCCCCGCGGGAGATCTCAGATATAATATGTTTCTCAGACCCGGCTTCGGGATCCTCCGACCCCCGGCCACTACCGGCGGATTTATCCATGTGTGATTCTGCCGGCGGCCACTTGGACCAACTTATATCTGTCATGAATGCTGTTCTCGAGATGCACTGCCCACACATAGCTTGTGCATAAGTTTTGTCTTGCATCATTAGACAGCCGCTAAAAGCGCAAGACGTGTCTGATAACCCTCCCTATACTCGAGTATCCCTGTTTTTTTGTTTTTTTCTCTCGTTTCCCAAAACTCGAGTACCATACGGTACACTAGTCTTCGGACGCCCCCTTCTTCCCGCTCCGGGATAATACGTGTGGTGGTGGTGAGGCCCAATGCCTATCATGCACGTACATCCCGTGTTATTGGGCATTTCCTCTGTTGCTAATGGAGGATAAGCCTGCGGAATTTCCACTCACGGTGGATCTTTAGATGGGGTCTAAGGCCTAGAATTTGGGATCGGAACAAATCATGAGTTGCAAACTTGATCAGCCCGGAGCCTGCGTCGTCTGTACACAACCCGGAGCGATTCCCATTGAGGCCTTGCATCTTGTGTCACTTTTTTCAATAAATGTGTTAGACGTGCAGCGTAGCTGGCCACACTGACACCTCAGAATTAAGTCTGAGCCCGCATCGTATCGATTCATGGTAAGTTACTCGGGTAGAGGCCACATGAAAAGAGGTATGAGAATACGGTAGCTCTCTCAACTCGGGCGCCCATGTGCGGCACCCACCCACGGTGCTGGCCCCATCAACTGCGTACGTAAGATGCTATACGGTACCCGACAACCGCTGTGATAAGCAAGAAGCGGGAGGTGTCTCCAAGCATCGTAAGGCTTGTTCGGCCGGCGGTCGACGATCCCAAACCGTAACGTCACACCTGAGCTTCTTCTGCGCATTGCATGGAATTAACTCCGCTGCGGGGACCTCGGAGTTTGCACCTTTAGGGAAGATGGGGAAGCAGTCGGGAAAACCACGTCAATTCATGGAGGGAACGTTAATTTCTTTGAGGAAAAAGGATAGTGGACTTCCGGCGGTTTTCTCTCTCTCTTTCTTTCTTTTCCTTCGGCGTTACTGTTCATGGGGAGGACACTTTGGATTCTTGGTTGCGGATAAAAGATTTGCACTGGCCCCTGTGTCCCACCGGTAGCTGAACCAACAACTCGGAACACCATCTAGAACCTGCATGACCTTGGCAGAGCGGCAGTATACCCCTGCTGTACGAGGATGATACATGTGCAAGCACAATCTATGCAACCAATAGGCTTTTTTGTCTCTGGAGATGACTTGTCTGGCTAATGCTGGAATGATATGCTAACCGTGCTCGAACATAGTGCTATAGCACGCTGCCTACCGAGTTGCTTGGCACGGTTTCGCTACCAGCTGTTATGTGTGTTCTGCCGGTGCAGCCGTGTATTTGGAGGGCTGATGGTACTCGAGTACCTGTACAGTACATGTGCATATCTTACATAGGATGCGAGACCTCCAGTTTTCGCCAATCATGCAGCTTCAAATGCCTTCTTCACAGGCTATCACTCGACAAACAGCACTCGAGTGTCCAACAGCCGCGGGTAGTCTTACTCTGCTGCGAGTGACTACAATCATGATCGTGCCATGAAATCGAAGATTTCGCTAACCCCGTGCAGGGGCCATGGTGTGCTGGGATCAGCCGCACGCATAAAACCATTGGAGGCTTAAAACTCCAATCTTTACCGTCAAGATACCAGTACTGTACCGAGTCAGCAGGATAGTTTAATGCTTAGTTGTGTAATATCCGGAAGTGGTGGGTTATCTGCGTCTGGGGCCCTCCCCGGCCGGTTCCTCACGACCTTGCTTATAAATCCCCCTCCAACAAGCAAAGACAAGCGAATAACTTTTGCCTTACCACCATTAAGCCACATCATTGCGGTACGGTGCTCCAACACCGTGTCATGGCATATTGCCACCTCAAACTCAAGGACTATACCTTGGGTGAATCCTTCAGGATCGGACCCCTCAGGAGGTCTCTGCCCCTCTCACTCACAAGAGAAACGAGGGAAAACAAAAAGAGAACATCATCACCGATTTCCCCCTTGCCCCCCTCCCCCGTATGTTGTATGAGCTCCCGTTCCAACCGTTAGCGGTCCCGAGCCTTCGACTTGTCATCCCATCATCATGCCGACCGATTTGTTCGTATCGACCCCACCGTAATATTTGTGTTATATATATGCCAAGAGAATCTCGCCAACATTAGCGAGTTTCGGGGCTCTAGTTGCTTTGTTGCGGTGAAACATCCCGTATCATATAGGGCGAAATTGGATGCGAGACGGGTGGGCTCCACTCGTCGCGCCAGGTGAAAAAACAGGCAGAAACAGGGCGGTGGACCCTTGCCTAATGTTTCCTCAGGTGGGAATATCCACGCGCATCGCTAGCCTCTCACAATTCCCACGAGCCTGGTAACAAGCCGCTTCCAACTCCAGGGTTGTCGAAAATGAACACAAGCCTACAGCGCGAATGCATATTTATCTGTCTGAATTCCGGTGAAATATCACACGGTCCCTGCCGGGAACGCTTAGCAAGCCAAAATGCGGGCTGATGGATTGCTGGGGGGATTGCTTTCCTGCTCTACATTGCCCTATTATTTGATGAGATACTTGGATCAAAGTTTGTTTCTCTTAACTCTTGGAGAGGGCGCGCAGATATATGCTTTATGAGGAGTGACCCGCCCGTTTCGAAAAGCGGGGAAAGGTGGTGAGGGTTCGGCTTTGTATTCACAGAAGGGTATTTAGCTCACCTACCGTATGGAATGGGTACGAGAATTTTATAATCTATTATTATCGTAATATCCATTTCCTCCTAAGTTTTCCAATCGCGCCCAGCCGGATGGCCAAGAGGATGTCTACCCGGCACCTAGCAGTGGGCAACAGAAATAATGACCCCAGCGAAGAGAAGGGATGGAGTAATGCGGTAATCTCGATGTAGATAGTAAAATCTGTATGCGCCGGGGCCATCCTTTGTGGATGATAGGTTATGAGCGTGCCATGTAACTGAGAGTTGCACCTAGATCATAATCTTTGATCTACCGTGCTCTCCGTCCTTGCGCGCTGTCAGATTTTGGCGGGTATGGGTGCCATAGACATACCTTAGGTAATTTACATTCCGTGTCAAAAACGCAATGCTGTTCACGCTGGCAAGGTAAAGGGGATGAAGATACACTGGAGATCGGTGAGACGGAGGGGTAAAGTGGAGCTCATGTATCGATAGCGAGAGTGAGCGGGGAAGAGGGGGGAGGAAGGAAAGATTCGAGCATAGACCGGAGAAGTGGGAGAACATGAGGGTCTTAAGGACCTATTTACCGGTAATGCTTGTTTGTGTGTGTGTATGTGTGTGTGTGTGTGCGTGGGTGTAAGAGCAAATTTAAGTAGGGGGATGGGAAAGTGGTCGTAGGACATATTGCGGAGGTATATAGACGGGCGTAGATAGACGCACGGTGGTGGCAGGCTTGAATCCATGGTGTGGAATTCTATTGGAGTCTCTTTCCCTCCCCCCACTGCCCCTCCGAACGGAAACAAGGGAGAAGCGAGTGTGTGGGTTGTCTGTGCGCTGTACTCGAGTGCAAGGATCTGCTCCAGCAGAGCTAAGCCTTGCATCTCATGGGGGGCTGCCGCGTCCCGAAAAATTTCACCCAGAACACCCAGGATAATTGGCTGCCCTCCCTTAAACCTCTCCCATGACAACTACATGCTGTATTTTGGAAGAACTCTGTCTCTCTCCATTGAAAATGCCGGGCGAATGTTCCACAACCTCGCTCTTTGCTTCCTAGAATTCCATTTTGATATTCAGCTAACTGACGTGGGCGTATCACAGGAAGTGTTCGGGTACATGATTGCATTGAGTCTGTAGGATACAGGTTAACGAACGACCTACATTCTTTTGTCATCGCCAGTGCAAACATCTGATAAGGAGAAAAGATAAGGAAGCAGGAAAAGGAGGAGCATAAGGGGAGGGGGAAAAACGCGAGAAGTCTCACAACGCTCAATGAACTCAGTTCTTTACCTATCATCGATCCATTGCCATCTCCTTCTTATTCCATATCTTGGCAAGGTTGCCCACGGCGGGCACACATATAGAGGTGACTTAGGGGAAGAAACGAAAAGCAACAGCGTGACGATTTTGGCACTGCCAATCCGTTATACCGGATAGAGGTTTACCGGAGACGTAGCGTGGAAATAGCCCTTTTGTGCGCTGGATGGTTGAAGCTGGTCTATCCTGAGGTGTGATGGTTTCGTTCACGGACTGTTAGGAGGACCTGCTGAGCTGTTTTTTTTTAAGAAATAAGTATCCGCAGTCAAACGGTGAGGTCTTTCCTTGCACTGGGAGGTCAGTTCGGATTGCCTCATATGCCAATTAGGCTCTCAGCCTCAATTGCAACAAGCTATTTTTTATTTTTTCTGTGCCTGGAACTAAGTTAACGTTTAAAGCTGCAGTACGTCCCCAAACCCTAATACCGGTATCTCCTCTCTTCCTCTGCCGGTATATTTCGTCCCAATTCTCTTCCTGCCCCTGCCTCCCCACCTCCCCGCTTCGCACAAATCACTTTGATCGTCCCTCGCTTATCTTTCATTGTGGTCTGTGCCACCCCTCTCTGAAAGAGCCTCACCATTCCGGTGGCCCTCAATTGCCGTTCTTTTCTCCCAACGAAACAGCTGCTATCTCTCCCTTCTTCTCCTCCCTTTGATCTTATTTCTACCAGTTCCTTGTTCACTGCCGCCTCCTAGAGCCCCTGCCCCTCTATTTTTCCCTTCAAATTTCTTTGTTCCCTTTGCATTCGATTTTCGAGCACACTCCAGCGTCATCTCCCTTGCTCGGTATTTCAGCATCCGTCCCTAAAGGAATGAGATAATAATAATAATAATAATAATAATAAAAAGGGCCGGAACTCAATTGGCACATCTCCGAGATGTCAGATACTCCGGTGGCATTCCTGAAAGCCCATCGAACCATTCATTATGCCTATCCTCTGCTCCTTTCCATCCTCTTCGGTACCCTGCAAACAATCACCTTTTGTACTCTGCAGAGCTTGAAACCTTCCAAGAGAATAGTTCGAAGAAATCTGTTGTTGCCTCTCCAAACTGCTGTGATTGCAACCTATGTGAGTCAAACTTCGGCCTTCCTGAGGGCTTCCTCTGCGGGTGGATATGTTCTGGGTAACGATCTGATAACCATGCGCATAGGTACTGGAAGCTATATTAATGCTTGCTCAATCTCTCGTACAGAAGGACTATTTTAGTCCTGAAGATAGTATTGTATGCTGTGATTTCCACACCTCGCAGTGTGTTGGCGGTTGCTGACCTGCCCATTTCACAGCTCTATGTTCTCTCTTCAGTTGTGATTTGGGGGGTGATTGAGCTGTGCCTGGTTGATAACAACAGCCCCGTCTGGTATCCTTACTACGGGTCATGGCTCCTGTCTTTGGTTGCCGAATTGTGCCTGCTAGCACTTCCGCATGACGATCCGGGCCAGGGGAGTGGGTTCCGTATGGCCAAGGTCGTCGTCGAAATAATTAGGGTTTCCTTTCTGTTTGCATTGCCTGTTTCGTACTGGGCCTTCCAACGCGGTGACAACAAGAGAAGCTTCCGCGGGGACGAGGAATCTGCTGGGCTATTAGCTGCATGTAATGCAGTGAATACAACAACCAACGGTACCTCTTACGGGGCTACTGGTGACGATAGTAACAATGCCCCAGAAAATATAGCGAACACAGAGGCGAATGCGAGGATGATGAAGAAGATCGAGGAGAGCGGGAACTGGTGGGTTTACGCCAAATCTTTCTCCGTAAGTTGTTTGAAATACAACCTATAAGCATGTGTTGGGCTGATCTGTGCATCAAAAGATACTTTGGAAATACCTCTGGCCGAGCGAGGATAGACGGCTTCAGGCGTCTATGGTTATGGTTGCGTTCTGTCTTTTGGCCGAACGCGGTCTAAACGCCCTAGTACCCCACCAGCTTGGCGTCGTAACGAATTCCTTGAGCGCAGGAAATGGTATTTGTGAGTTCTAGTTGCGGATGGCCAAAGCTGACGGATATAGGAGCTATACCGTGGTTGCAAGTTTCCATCTATGTTGTCTTCCGTTGGTTGGATTCTGGTTCTGGAATTCCTGCTCTCCATAGATATCTCTGGATACCGGTGGACCAATACGCTAGCCGCTCAATCACGACGGCCGCGTATAACCATGTTATGTCGCTCTCTCACGATTTCCATACTAATAAGAAGAGTGTGGAGATATATAGTTCAGTAAGACAAGGGCGCTCAGTTAACGGCTTTATTGAGTCTGTATTATTTGCCGTCTTACCTATGCTTTCGGATCTCTGCATCGCGTTCGCATATTTTTATTATATGTTTAATGCGTATATGGCGTTGATTGTGGCTGTTGTGTCAATCGTCTATCTCTATGCTACCGCAAAATTGGGGGCCACCAAGAACCAGATTAGGAGAGATTACAACACTGTGGGTGCTTAACTATTGCTTTCTTGTTTTCAGGTTGGTAGTTGACGACTATGGATCATTTATAGGCAAGGATCGAAGAGGCGAACGTTATGTGCGAGACCATGTCGAGCTGGGCAACAGTGAGCGTGAGGACAACTGCAATTCGTAACTAAACATGTGTTAGTATTCGATGAGCTAATGGTGGATCAGTACTTCAACCGCATTGAGTATGAACAGGACCGATATTGGGGAGGTAAGCTCAGCCATTCTCCTGCTCTCAGAGGTCGCGTAGGCGTACTAACTGGCAGTCGTTTCAGCTATTAAGAATTACCAAAAAGCCGAGCTTAACTATGTTTTGGGCATCACATTTTTGGGGGTCAGTCAAAGCCTTATATTTACGGTTGGCCTGTTAGGTGCCAGTTTCCTCGCGGTTTACGAGGTTTCGAGGGGAAACAAGCCTGTAGGAAGTTTTGTTACCTTACTCTCATATTGGGCCCAGCTTGGTTCCCCGTTAGCATTCTTCGCCAACTTTTATCGTAAGATTCAAACCCAAATGTTAGATGCGGAGCGCCTGCTCGAACTTTTTCAGAGGAAGCCTTCTGTCATCGATAAACCTGGTGCGCAGGAATTCCAGCTCAAGTCCGGAGAGATTGAATTTAGTGATGCCTGCTTCGCATATGACCCCAGGAAGCCCGCTATTAAAAATATGAGTTTCAGAGTACCTGGTGGCTCGACAGTAGCGCTAGTGGGAGAGACTGGCGGAGGCAAGACTACATGTTTGAAGTTACTATTTAGGTTTTTTGACGTTAATTCTGGCTCCATAACTATCGACAACCAGGATATTAGAGATGTTACTCTGTGGAGCTTGAGAGAAAATATGGGTGTTGTTCCTCAGGTATGCTTCCGGAATTCGAATGTGATTCGAGGCACTTGCTCACCATTCTCAATACAGGACCCCCAACTCTTCAATGACACGTTGATGATGAACCTCAAGTATGCAAATTTCGATGCCACCGATGAACGTACGTGCGATGCCTTTATGTGGGGGTGCGTTCCCTCCTTTTCCTTTTTTTGCTTACCATTTCCAGAGGTTTATGCTGCCTGCCGCGCAGCCGCTATCCATGACAAAATTCTCGGTTTTCCAGATGGCTATTTTACAAGGGTTGGAGAGCACGGTGTGAAACTCTCGGGTGGTGAACTCCAGAGGGTACATATCTTCCCGCATTTGAGACCTGGGGAAGACTAATTTTGTGAAAGATTGCTATTGCAAGAGCAATTCTAAAGAATCCGAAGATTGTTCTGCTGGACGAAGCCACCAGTATGGTTGATATGGAAACTGAGCGCTCAATACAGCACGCCTTCCGCGAGCTCGCATCCAACCGCACGATGTTTGTTATTGCGTATGTTTCCGTCCTTCATTGCTGTTTGGTTCAGTGAAAATTTTGTGGTTTGTGAACACTGCTGATCCTACTTTATAGTCACCGACTGTCGACGATTATGAACGCGAACCTTATAATTGTGATCAAGGACGGTGAGATTGTCGAAAAGGGCAGCCATGAAGAGCTCATCAATGCTGGGGGCAAGTACTTCCAGCTATGGTCGAAGCAACTCAAAAATGAGCAACCAAAGCCTTCCTCGGAAACCCCTACAGAGTCAAATTACGTGAATGATCTTAGCCCTAGATCCCGAGAGCAGGAGCTCAAGAAAGTATCTGGGGAGTCGAGCACCGAGCCCTATCCGAAGCCCAACTTTGATAGCCATCCAAGGCCCAAGACGGAGGGAGCTAGTCTTGTGACCAATGCTTTTCATGTTCCAATTCCGGTACCAGAAAATGGAGGGGCCCTGTCGAATTTAAAGAGCGGCCCTGACACAGATAAAATTTCGAAATCGTCCAACAATCGCCGGAATTCTGTTACATTTGCTGTCGAGTTGCCAAGATCTGACCCCCAGAGTGAGGCCAGAAGCTCAAGTGCTCATGGCATTCTGAGGAACTTTGGATCAGTCAGGGATCCGGAAAAGCAGCACATACAATTGCCACGCCAGGTTGCCCTTTGGACACCGTCATCTCTGAAACCTGATGCTCAAGAATTTATACCCAATGACCTCACTTCCAAGGACTACGCGCCGCAGAGCACCACGGACGGCACCTCAGTTGTCAATGGCACTGGCGATCCTCCAGCATCAAGAGAGTCAAAGAATGGGGTTATGCTGGACGCCCTGGCCGGCGCAAAGCCTGTTTGTGACCAACCTGGCAATGGAGAGGCTGCGAAAGAGGGCGGCATGCATAATCGGAATGGTTTGGGGGTGGACAGGATCCAGGCCCTCCAGGAGAAGATTGGAAGGGTTTTAAAGAGTTCGGAAGCGAAGGTGAGGGAAATGGAGGAAGGGAGAGCATCTCAGATGTTGCCGGCCGAGGAGAAAGGCCCGGGCACGTCAGAACCCTCAAAAATCAACATTACCATTCCAAATGGTAATGGAGCGGGTAACTTATGCGCCGTTGGCGTTGAGAATTCTCCCGCATCCCCAACGGAGTCCCGCGGTGAACTCCAACTCGAACATAAGAGGAAACGACGACGAAACCGGCGCAGAAGCAACAAATCAAAGTCCGCAGAGGAGAGCGATCATATGGCCAATGGGGGATACCACGATAAAGCTCAGGAGGCTCCAAACGGATCTTCAAGCTTGTCGATGAATATTTCTCCTCGCCCTTGTGGCGGAGAGGGGTTTCCTCCAAACCTTGATGGCACTGGCTCAACCGATAAGAAACAGAAACGTCGCCCCACTGACGGGCTGAAGGCATCGAACCCAAAATCTGAAGTGGGAAAGGCGGTGACTTCTCTCGCCGCTCCAGAGCGAACGGTCTCTGGCGAGGAGCTTTCGAAAAAAAATACGGGAACGAATGGAATAGGTTCTGGGAGTGAGAGCAATTTCCGGGGTGCCCTGAGGGAGGGCCTCAGACCAAAATCAAGCGATGGTGAATACACGGTTTCGCTGTCGGGGCATGTAGAACTCCCAACGCCAACTAGCTCAGTTGCCAATAGAATCACATTGCGTGAACAGAATCGGCGCAGGAGTTGGGGGAAGTCGACTGCCCTCAAAGGGAGCTGGAGGCGGTCGGACAGAGTCGACCGTGATGAGGGTGCCGGTGCAGCTCAGGGCACAGGCTCGACAGATGGCGCCTAGGTCCATGCCTAGTGGCAAGCTCGCTCGATCCACTTGACAAGCCGTTACTGTTTTTTTTTTGTTGACAGGTGCTCCCTTTCTCGGTGGTTGAGGTTTTATCCGTAATTTCCATTATTTCCCTTTATTCTTCGCGCCTCTATACCCTGTTGTTTCCCTTTCGCTGATTCTATTTTCTATCCAAACCTCTCTGCCAAAATTTTGGCCAACATGCGTCCGAATCTCAAGAGGAGGATGCCATGGAACACATTTCCGTCCTTTGACTTCAAAGGGAGGGCCGAAAAGATATTCATTATATTGCGTATTGGATTATGGTACTAATGGTGGTTTTCTCTCTGAGTGTCATGGAATGTGGGTGGAATTTTGAATATCGCTGCTGGTTTTCTTGGGCGATGGCTCAACAACCAGCATTAGAAGTGTCAGAAGGGGAGGGGGGTGGTTGGTAATTCTTCCTCTCAACTGATGTGGTGGCTTTTTTTTTCTTTTTTTCTCTCTTTTTTCCAATCGCAAGGGTTCAGGATGGTTGAGGGATTAGATGCAGGTTACCGGGCGATTTAATGGCTTTTCCGTACTGATAGGTCATTGAATACTGGTACAAAGCCGGTAGATAGATATAATGGAACGCGGTTTAGTCCGTGTTGGAAAAGTGTACCCTAAGTGATGACTAGCTCATGCAAGGAGAGATGGTACTCATATATCAATTTCATGGGGATTTCGGAACCCCGAGCTTATCCATAAACACCTGGGTAATAGCGCTACAGGCGCCGTAGAGTGGGGTGGGGGGGGTCACCAGTAGAATACACTGCGCTACAAGTGAGTTACCGTGCTGCTTACGAACCAGTTGGGGGGTTTAATGCGGCTGGATGGCGCATTGCATGTTACCGTGTTAGGGCCGCGAGTGTTGTATCCAGCTACAGCAGGAGTAGGGTTTAGGAAGAAGATACAGAGGTATCGGTAGCCTACCTACAATAATTATTTATGAATTCACTTCACAGCCAAGGAAAGAGCTATATGATACGACGGGGTGGGTGGTGTGTGCAATGAAGATGCCAGTGCCGGTATAGTACAAGTACTGTACTGTACTCGTACTGAGACAAGGATTGCGAGGCTACGGCCCGAGAGGTTGAGTTTCATAGCGGTAGAGCACGGACGAGTGAAACGAAATATGAGCGGTTGAACAGGAAGCTCCATAGGAAAAGACGCAACTTGAACATGCAAGCCATTCCCCTCGCTTGTTCCCCCGGACCGGCCGACAAGCAGTCTACGAGTACTGTACTCCAGTACCGTATTTGCACGGGTGGACTACGGTAATGTGCCGGTAGCTGCGATAGGAGAAGTGACCTGGGCCTTTTGATAGGGTCGAAAACCTTGCTCCACGATTAGGCAGAACTGATAAATCCTTCCACCGGGAGTATAACTGAGTACAGCACAGTACTAAGCAGAAGGAATAAAATAAAGCATCACAGTACTCGAGTAAACAACGCGTTAAATTTACTATGATCGGAACATATCACACCCTCCCCCTCCCACTATCCCCGCAAGTGCCTTGTATTCCCTGTACCACCGATTCCCTGCGAGTACCGTACCGGCACCGGTACAAGTACTACTCGTGCAGGACGAACAAGCGGGACTAGTATGGCCACCTTACAGCAGCTGCAGACGACGTGTCTGAGCCTTCTCTTCTCAACGCAAGCACACCCCGTTGGATTCGCAAAATTATCCATAAAGCCTGAGACCAGCCTATCCGACGAGAAAGAGGAGCATCTCTTGGGCCTCTATGACAAACTCCAGAAGGTATGTCTCGAAAGGCGTATACTCGAAGCCGAGATGTCGGGGGTTGGGATTGAAGGTGGTTTCCCCTCCCCCCCCCTTTATTTTCTTTTTCCCCCTCTTTCTTCGCTTCTCTCTTGCACTCCCCCCCCCCCTCCCTTCCTCCTACTTTTTTCCCACACACATGCCCGGGCATTCAATGATTGGTCCTATGTCTAACAAGCGTTTGGGATCATGCAAGACGCAGATGACGACCTCTCGATCGAGGAGCAGTTCCGCAATGCGGAAGCGGAACTGTTGGTGAGTAGGGCGAATTCGGTAATGAAAGGAAAAATCGTCGAGACAACATTGGCTACACAGCCAGTGCTTCGAGCAGTCCACTTGAGCTCCAGAAGCACGGCGAAGGAACGGTAGTGCCCCCTCCTTTCTACTACAGCAAGGTATGACTCCCACCTACTCTGTGCTTTGGGCTGAAATCTGGTTCAATCTACTAGTGCCTTATCACCGCTTATCCTCCGCCGGGACGTCCTCTCGGTCACTCACGCTAACCTCTCGCACGTCCTCGGCACTAGCCTGGAGGCATTGTCGAAGTTACAGGCATCCAACACGAATGCTCAGGTCCTCAACAGGCGGTTGACTGCGAGACTGCTCACGCTCAGCGAGAAGCAGAAGAAGGCGAGGGATGCAGTGGCACAGGACGACCAAGGATACAGAGATGCTGAGGAGGCGCTCCGGGAGGCGAGGATTAAATGGGAGGTCATGAGAAACGCGGTGCAAGCGATTATAGTGGGGAGTGGAGTGGACTGGGTTGGCGATAAGAAGCTTAGGGATACGGTTCTGTCCTGCGGCGAGGAGCTGGAATCGACTTGATCCTTCCATTCTTCATTTTTTTTTTCACTCTTTTCCTTTTTTTCACTGCCTTCCATCTGCTTCTCGACTTAGAGGTTATTTATTTATCCATGCGGTGTGGTTATTGTTCCGCGCTATGCGGCCCAACCCGCGCGACTGTATCCGTATCTCGATGACGCGCAGGAGGTCTTCCGGCGGTGCAGCCCTTCACCTGGGACACTGACACATCAAGAGAAAATGGCGTTTTGGAAGGCTCGGTAGCTGTATTCCAATCCTGTACGGTACCTTGCGTTTTCTCTTTTTCTCTTTTTTCCTTTTTCTTCCTTTCAACGAGCACTACTCGTACTGTGTGACAGTATCGCAACCCTACAATCCAATCAAAAAAAAAAGGCTTCCACGGCATACCGGTATCATATTCAAAAAAAGACAACTTCACCCCACCCACCGGTCGCATATACTTTACTTGCTTCAGGTACAACCCCGCTGCGGGTATGATACTACTCGAGTACAATTTTCCCTTGCGAACCTCCCACACAACTCCCACCGTGCCCCCCCGGACAAGCTGCACTACGAGTAATCACTTATGCACATGCCGTATGCCGGCGGTAACAGTACCCTACGAGTGCTCCACCCAACCCGCCGACCAGTCCGGCAACCAACCAAAAGCAAAGCGATCAACATCTAATATCATACCCCCCTCAAAGGTGAAAAGCCCTGAGGGGCCCGCAATGCACGAGCCCCGTACAGCACTCGAGCGCTGCACCACACTTCAACCAGTGCACAATACGAGCATCATGATAATAATACAATACCAATGCTGTATGATACTCGAGCATAATAATAATAATAATAATGATGATGATAATGATAGCCCCAGATCCAATACCGGTACCGTACCGCACTGTAAAAAATAGTGGGAGGAAAAAAAAAGCAAAAAAGGAAAAGGAAAAGGGTAAAAAAAATTTAAAAAAAAAGAAGGGGAAAAGGAAGGAAGGAAAAGCAAGAGCCAGCAACGTAGCTGCTAATGTCCTAGTACATTACCACCGTACCGTACCGCAATGCGTGTGATCCATGGGATGGGGCACAACATGACATTGAAGCACCTCGTTGACCTCCGATATACCGGTCAGTTTCATTGGGGGAGGGCACCGTACCGTACTTGTACGGTACATAACCGGAGGGACGGGCCGTGCTCGCTCGGCCGCGTTGAAGGGGAGAGAGAGGTGGGGGAGAGGCTGGAATCGAGATTCCCATCATAATATCATGGTTTCCCCGTCTTGAAATCCGGCCACGCTCGCAGGTGGGGCCCGGGATTATAGTGCGTTCATGTCACAAGTGACTGAGGTATTTCACTGTACTAGCACTGTACTCGTACGTACGGGTATGATACGGTGGTGTGCCCCCGCCCTGTGTACTAACTACGGTAGTAGGATATGTGTGGTGTTCTCCGGATTTTATGGTGGCGTATGTATGATGCCGTATCATACCGTACTCGAGTGCTGTATTCGTGCAGTACTGTACTTGTACTCGAATGCTGTACGATGCGGAACAGTGCAATGCGGCGCTGTGGACTTGGGTTCTCCGTTCGGAACGGGCCAATGGCGGGATGCCGGTGTTGAGTTCTTGGCGACCGCTGTCTGACCGCATACGGCAACCGTAGGTACGATATGATACCATGATATATTATAGTTATCTTATCATTGGGTAATTACCGCACACAGCCCTTATCGATGCGGGGTACAAACTCGATGCCATGCCCGGGCCAGAGAGGGGGAAAAAGAAAGAAAGAGATGAACCACCTTCTCACACAACAGTGGGGAAGAGATGGCCAGGGAGAAAAAAGAAAGTAAAAGAAATCTTGGTTCCAGAGGGGGTCGAACCCTCGACCTTGGCGTTAACATCTGGATGATATTAGCACCACGCGCTAACCAACTGAGCCATGGAACCGTTGTGCAGTTGAGAAAATGAACACACAAGTGCTCACGGAGTTCGGGAACGACGGAAATACACTATTACTATTATATCATAGGTATAATACCGCTATGTGATTAAACGCCACACACCATTGCTCATCGCCCCGCCGAACGCCGTAAACAAGCAACCACGCATTAATCACGGGGGGGGAAGATGGACGGGATTAAATGGACTTACTAGTCTCTAAATCACCAATCCGTCTTTGTCTAATGCCATTAACCACCATCATAAAAAGAGAAGAGAAAAGAAAGAAAGAAAACCCCACAAACTCCCCAGGCCACGTCCGCACGAAATTTCTTGCCATGATGGAAATGAAAACTAGTGCGGTAAAAGGAAATAAATAAATAAAATCACAGCCCAACCCCCTCCAACCCCTCCGTTGGCCCTACCGGTGCTACCAGCGGCCGTTCAGCACTCCCAGACAACGTCCTCCTCCGCCGGCCCGTAACCGTGGTGAGCGTCGACCGCGTTACAGTCGCAGTCGTGGCACCGATCTCCTCCACTTCCCCCCGTGCAGCGGTCTCCGCCGCCTGCTCTAGGAATGGCGTGCCGGTTAGGGGTGCGAGGATCAGGTAGCGCCAGACGTAGAGAGTCGCGTCGTAGAGGAGGATCAAGATTGCCGGGGCCATGGTTAGGATTCCTAAGAATACCTGTTTGGGGGCGTTAATCAGTGGTGGTTGTGTTGGTGGAGGCAGCTTACGAAGAAACGAACGGCCCAAGTCTGAAGGATTCCTAAGATTTCGAGCAGGCCCAGGTTTGGCAGAGACATGTTTCGGGTATCCAGATGGGCAGTTGCTTTTGCGGGTCGGGAGTGTGGGGGGGGGGTGCGTTGTGGGTGGTGGAATACCGATATGGGAGGGGGAAGAGGGGGGGAATGTGAGGGAGAGAGTGTGATGGTGGGTAAACGGGGGAATTCGTGGTCGGTCACTCACGGATTGAACGGCCGGGTGCTTGGGATGCTACGAGTAATTAGGAGTGGAGGCTAGAGCTCTGGTGAGTGAGGTCCGGTTGCTTGGCAGAATTGGTTACACAAGTCAAGATTGGTTGCTCAGCTTGGTTTCGGAGGGTGAGACATACCGGCACTACGCCGGAGTGATCCGAACGTCTTGACTTTGCTACTATCTGGGTCGGTGTAGTGATAATGAAACTTGGGGCGAGTTTCTATTGTCGCGGGCTGGCACCAGATGTAAGTCCAGAACCTGATCCCAGCTTGAGCTCTGCAGGAACGTAGTATCGTACGCGGATTCCTGAGCTCAACGTGCACTACCCTATTAACACCACTATCTTGATCCATGGGTTCCAGGGCACAATTAACAATACCCCGACTTGGCTGTACGAGCACGGTATCGTACCCTCACGGGAACAAGGGAAAGAACTCCCATGCACTTCGGGTGTAAAGGCTCGGAGCCCGCTCGCTCGGAGATATGTTTGAACCTACCCTGGAAACATGGCTCCGGGTGTTATGTTGCGCGCAGCTACAACCCCCTCGAGACATGACAACAAGTTAAGGCAGCCATACCAAGATAAGTCAATCCAAAAGTCCCCGACCCGTGCAGAGTGATTTGGTTTTCGTAATGACTACCTACATCGCTGGTACACTATTTGATGCCATGAGCCCCTCCCTTCATATAAACCTGGGCTAGGCCGGGCCTCGGTTTTTATATATATGAGATTCTAAACCTATGGGCAGCCACGAGAATAACCCACCACTTTCGGAGAAGCCGAACGTCAATGTTGAAGACTCGAGCTCCAAAAGCTTTTCGTCCCTCATGAGCGAGCTCTTCAGGATGATGATACCTTTTGCCTTTCGGTGACATAATTGGGACAAATACCTCGACATCGAAAACCTACTATTCAGTGGGAGGAGAAAAACCCCCCTCGTGCCAGGTGGATTTAGCAAGATCTTCCATAGCTGCGTGGGCCTCGACGTCGAGGGGGCACGAAGCCTCCAGAGGTGAACCCGATAAGCATCAGTCATCCGAATAGGGACACCTACCAGCCAGCAGCATTCCTTAAAACGTTAGACTAGCTGTCCCTACGATATCCCTTTATGATATCATATCCCACCTTTGATTATTCTCCTGGGCCACCAGTAAACGGCCACAACTTTTCTCCAAAAAAGAAAAGCTGAAGAAAAGAGCAAATAAGTTTCTCCATCGGAAATTTCTAAATTGGGCTACTCGGCCGCCTCTTCTTCCCTAATCTTTCGGGGGTTGGAGGGAGAGAAGAGAAGAGAAGAGAATTGGCAGTTTAGGGGGATAACGCCCCCAGCCTGGCTGTATCGGTGTCAGTATGGGCACGTGCAGATATCCCCATTACACAGTCCCATCCCTAGCTCCAAACCATCTCTCGCACTGATCGTTTTCAGGAGCTTCACCAATCGAGACAGCAAAAAACTCGTGGTTTGGGAAGCTCAAGTACGAGGGAGGAGTAAGGCTACTTTTAGGGAACTCAGCAAACCATTCACCTAACATCCACGCGCCCACAGAAGCCCCCGCACTGAAAAAAAGTGACCCGAGTGACAAACTATGCTTCCACAGTCGAGTCCTAATTACTCGTAGAAACTCCAGCTCTTACCCAAGAGAGTTATCATACATACTGCCTTGGCACCGCTGTCCCGCCATTATCAGTAGACATCGTGCCCTTAGTTAGTTAGTTCACCGTGTGAAATACCCCTGCAGACATCTAAGGAGCAGGATGCCGCCAGGAATAGCCCCCCCCCACCTACCGGGGGCCCGCCGCTGTTTTGCAATCACTCTTCCCGATAATGGGCTTCACTGGGCGGAATTACCCCTACCGACGAAGGAACGCCGGATGCGACAACCTTGGCTCAAGGCCTTGCTGGCCTCCCGCACCACGCAGCCCCGCGCGGAGGGCGAAATGTCGTTACGCCGCGAGCCAGTAGTAGCGGTAGGTCTGGTGCCGACGCTTTCGGATATCACAACATCATATCATACCCACAACGCTCGCAAAGCCCTAACGCCCGAACCCCGAGCCATAGCTATACTTCATTGCCTTGAACACTCAGACGATTCATCCGGGGAAGCTCGATATCTCAGCGCCGGCCCAAATCAGGTGAATCTTGAACCCTGCGGTGGGCAGATCCCGGTAGGAAGGAAAGGAGGAGGAGTGGGCGCCGATAAGGGGCGGAAACGCCATTCAAAGGCTCGCCGATGCCGGTTGGTCGGTCAGGCCGTAGGCACATTTTTGAAGAAAAGTTTTCGTCGGAGGTTAACTTACCAAAATTGTGAGAAATTTGGCTTCCAAAGTAAATCTTAACTTGCTATGGGAAACCTCGGGCATAACAGCATGACCCCCCGGGTGGAAATATCTGAATTTTTAATTTTTTTTCACCCACGAGTGAGAAACGGTGAACGTTGGCCCTTGTTATCATGACTCGGGCACTGACGGCCATGAATATGTCGGGCACAGTCTAGTTAGCTATCTGTAAAGCTGAATTAAAAAAAGAAAGAAAAAAAAAGAAAAAAGGAAAAAAGTCAGTAATATCCCCTGTTGTACCGGCTTTTGCCGGCGCGGCACGATCGTATAATACGGCGGCTGAGCTGGTGACTTGAGGCGGTTATGGCGGTGCATTACCGTATGAGATTTAGCATCGTACACATGTGTCCCGGATGGACGGTACGAAGTGTATCATACTCAAGCTCCGGGGGAAGCGGTGTAATACCCTAAGTTAGGGGCTGAACGAATAATAATGATAACAACATGGCCAATCATAATATTATGGATCAGGTCTTATTATCTATAGGCCCGTCATCACACGCCATCACTCCATATCTTCTCCCCGAATGCCCACACTCCCACAAGATCTGACTCCCTATCATACTCGTGCAAAATTGATCGCAGTGTGACACCAGGCTTGCTTTTAGGCGACAGTAGAGGCTTCGGTTTTTGGTCATGGGGACTGAGATGCAACAGGGTCGCCAAGTTTTTCATCGCCCCACGGAGAAGCTGGATAAATTGCCCTACGAGTGACAGTTTGTGAGCATCACAACCTGGGGCTCACTAATTTTCTCTCCCGGATAAAGTTTAAAGTCGCCATCTTCTATTGAAGGCGCGACATGATATTGTGAATCGCAAGCCCCCCCCCCCCCCCCTTTCTTGCAGGCCACTTCTTGTAGGAAGAGACCCCTATCCTGGCCATAGGTAAAGCAAATCGCTGTTGTGGGAACTGTCGTGATCCCTACGAGTACCGTACCGGTACCATGTCAGGCTATCAAACCGCTCTCAGCCAAGATCGACTCTAGCTCGATAATCCGGCCCCGTTCCGATGCTCTCATAGGGAATGTATGATACTATTGTACTGCACCCGTCCCGTATCGAAGCCCCGTTTTCTTTGTTTTTTTGCCCCAACAACACACCAGAAGGAGCACGGCACCAATCCGGCGAAATGAGGACAAGCACCTTACACAATAGAGAGGTAGTGATCGGCTGATTTAGGTTAACGTGCAAAATGATCCCCGTCTTGCGGGAAAGCATCCCTCCCGGCATTCCCACGGACCTCAGTAGCTAGGGTGCTGTACTAGTACAAGTACCAGTACTCGAGTACTTCGCCGGGAAATATTGCTCATCCCCAACTACCGTATAATTTAGTACCGCTCCGACAAGAATTGCGGCTCTATCAGGTACAAGTAGATGATGGGGCGGATGGCTCTCTGCACATTAATAGAGAGAATAAACAAGAAAATCCCAAGTTCCCATAAAGATATTGGGGTTCAGAAGTAGATCAGAACTCTTGGCAGGATCAGGGGAAGGTCCAGGACATCCCTAACATAAACTGTTAGACTAAAGGGCATGCATGACATGTGGGAGACAGTCTATGTGCCGATGGTATATCGCCTCTGATAGAGGCCACGCTTGGCAAGCCAAGGTGCAATTACTAAGCCAGCTTGAATGCCGGCCACCTCCGGCTGCCAAGGTCCTTCCCCCCGTCAATCGCGAACATGCCGACCGAGTCCCGAACAGAAAAGTAGGCATGCAGTACGAGTACCGGTACAGGTAATAAGAGTCCCGCTTACCCATCACCAACAGATGTCCGCAGGCAGCAGGGTCGGTCTCAAGCACCATCTCTTCGCTTGTATTCCCAATTCTCAACCACGGTAATGTGCTATACCGGTATATGAAAAGTGCGGATCCCATAAACAACGCGCTCCTTCGCACTTGGCTCCTACGAGTGCCGCACCACTACTCGTACGGTCCCCCCAGAAAAAGCAAACATTCGGACACTCCCTTGCACAAGCACAGTACCGTAAGGCAGGGTGCAAAAGCGTCACGAGATCCTACCAACCCAACACATTAGAATAGTTACCCTACCCTGCAGGGAGGCTTAAAAAAATTTACTCTGAGGGCGGAAGCATGTACTCGTACTAGTACAGTACCGGTATTTTACTGTACTGATACTCGTGCATGTAAATCTAGCGTCTGCGGTAGCACAGATTGTACGGGTATGGTGTGCAGACGGTGGGTCGTCGGTGTTCGTGTCCTTGCAGGAGCATGACAGCTACAGGACGGTCTATAATATTCGCACTGTACTGTACCGTACGGTACAGTACTAGTACATGTAAAACTACTGAAAAGCCACCACGTACTAATCCTCCAGCACAGCCTTGTTGGAGTTCCCTTAAAGAGTTATCAGTATGACACGTGAGCTCGTTGAGAAGAAAAATCTCCCGTATGATATGTATGATATTGAAGAATCCTTCCTCTCCGCGATTCGTCGTTCGGGTGGGAAAGCATTTCGCCGTGCCGACCCCCGTATCGGACTTTATTAGGCTACGTATGTAAGCTATGGACAAGGAAGGAACAGGAGCCTCCCGGACCACGAGCCCCCAGAATTTTAATGGACTCCATCACCGCCCTTCCCCCCAATGGGATTTCCCAGGCATCCCGGTGAGGCGAGGCAGAAGCCAGTCCACGAATCCTGCCAAAAATTTCGTCAGATCATGGGCTGCGGTGGGCCTCCGGCGGGTGCACTCATCAAAATCGGGGGGGGGGGTTCCGTGATGGCGTGGAGCTCAGAGATGAGCCAAGTACTAGCCGTTTTCACAAGTATCCGGATGCCTTGGTGCCAAGATTTGTACCTGACCTGTGTTAGGGGAAGCCTTGAACCAGAGCACTAATTATAATAGCATTGACTTAAATCCCTACAACTTACTCAAAGATTGGTTTGTTTGAAATATCTCTCCGCTGGCTAGATCTCCAGCCTATTCTCTATCTAACAATCAAGAGAAGGAAAGCGCAAAGGTGGTTGATGAGGAGCCTTAGTAGTTTGAAGTTGGTGATTTTGGATTAGTCGACTGGTTAAAGGCTTCCCCTACCAACTGGTGATCGGATCTCTCAGCGCCAAGGCATCCGGATACTTGTGAAAACGGCTAGTACTGTAAGAGTTCAATGTTTGGCAAAATCCGTACCGTATCAAAAAAAAAAAAAAAAAAGAGAGAGAGAGAGAGAGAAACAGTCAAAGTTTTCCCAACAAGACAAGTAAGAGGTGGTACGAGTTAACCGGTTGAGAATTGTGGAGGTTTTTAATTTCCCTTCAAAGGACGCATTGTTCGGTTCCATCCTTTCCCTTTCCCTTTTCTTTCCCCTTTCCTCTTTCCTTTTTCTCCTCCACCTCTCTCCTGCCAACCGGAAAAGTGTTCTCTTTCCGAGTGATTGCAAGATAGGCGCACCGATACGGTACATTTTACCCAGGCAGGATGGTATTGCTCGTATGATTGATGACAATGGCCCCCGTAATTGGGGTTACTTGTACGAGTACGGTACTTGCACTGGACAGCGGGGAGGGGAACCCTAACCCGACAGGAATGGCATTCTACCGGTGTGACATTTGCAATTACCGAATCTCGATAGGGGAAAGAGGATTCGGGAACCGCGAGGCTCGACTCGAGCCACCCGGCAAAGATACGAGCGAGATATTTGCGGCCGGAAGGGTTACCGCGTTGCGAGTGTCGGCAGCGAGGAGAGTACCGGTATGGAGAAAAAGGGGTGATGATGATGGAGAGATGGATCACGGTGGTGCGAGTTCCTTGAGTGGCCGCACACGGGTATGGTTATTATAAGGGGATGCTGGGGGGTTTGTCCCTGTGAGAGTACGGTACTCGTACAGTCGTACTTGTACAAGAGCCAGCGCCGGTAGACTATTGTAGGTGTGTTGCCACTGGCGATCTGTTTCTGTTGGAGGACGGCGCTGTTCCTGAACGAGAACATTTTATTATTCTGTTGTGGAGGGAGGGGTGGAAATAATATTGGTGTGGCATGGTGAAAGGCTTGGAGGCTAACAAACCTGCAGTAAAGGGTTGGGAGCAACGCGTTGCACTTCAACGACAACAGAAGTTCGATAAAGGGTACTGCCGCTTAGACCCCTACAACCTGCGTTTTCCACTCTCGCCATTTCACCCTGCCACTGCCCCAGCTCGCTACATACCCTTCTCTCTCCTCTCTCCCTTCTCCCTTCTCCCTTCTCCCTTCTCCCTTCTCCCTTCTCCCTTCTCCCTTCTCCCTCCCTCACACATCCTATCCCCCCCCCCCCAAGACACTTTTCCACTCTTCCACCTCGTGCCCTGCACCCTAGAACACTCCCGCAACTTGGCTGGTCATTTCTCACCTCCCTCCATCTCTTCTGTATTCTGACCCCGTCCCCTATTTCCTCTTCCTACTCTTCTCTTCATCCCACCCTATAACTCACCTATTCCCTTCCTCCCCCCGCAATCCTTCTCCTTAGCTTCGTATTCTCTTCAAGCATCTTAGTTCCTTTCCTACATCTCCTAGAACTTTAGACTCTCAGTTTACGAATACACGATCTACATCCATAATGTCTACTCGTCCCCAAAACGTCGGCATCAAAGCCATTGAAATCTACTTCCCGAGCCAGGTTCGTTTCTCCCGCCATCTGCAGATGTTTGCGCCGTGTTGCTGTTCAGCTATCATGGCGCCATTCGAGGGGCAATTTCTCTGACTTCAGCGATGCTAGTGTGTTGATCAAGCCGAGTTGGAGAAATTCGATGGTGTCTCCACCGGAAAGTACACAATCGGACTTGGACAGACCAAGATGTCCTTCTGTGATGATAGAGAGGGTAATTCTTTGATTTTCCCAGTCGGAACGAGCGAGCAATGTACCCGGAAACTTACCCCAGCGCTTTAGACATCTATTCTCTTTCATTGACCGTTGTCAAGTCTCTCCTCGACAAGTACAGCATTGACCCCATGTCGATTGGTCGGTTAGAAGTCGGCACCGAGACTTTGCTCGACAAGTCAAAGTCTGTAAAGTCTGTTCTCATGCAGCTTTTCACCCCTAATACCAACATCGAGGGTGTCGACACTGTTAATGCTTGCTATGGTGGCACCAATGCTTTGTTCAATGCTATCAATTGGGTTGAGTCCTCGGCTTGGGATGGTCGCGATGCCATCGTCGTTGCCGGTGACATTGCCCTCTACAGCAAGGGAAATGCCAGACCCACTGGTGGAGCTGGTTGCATTGCCATGCTCATTGGCCCCGACGCACCGCTCGTTCTGGAGCCTGGAAAGAGAGGAAGCTACATGTCTCATGCCTATGACTTCTACAAGCCAGATTTCACAAGTGAATATCCCGTCGTAGATGGCTACTTCTCCATCCGCTGTTACACCGAGGCTGTCGACGGTTGCTACAGGGCGTACAACAACCGAGAAGCTTCCCTTGCTGCTCTCGCACACAGGAATGAGGGCACCAACGGAAATGGTGTGGCCAACGGAAATGGGGCTGTTAATGGAAATGGCCACGCTGCATCCAATGGTGGGATCGACCGCTTTGATTACGTGCTTTTCCATGCCCCGACATGCAAACTCGTATCCAAGTCGTATGCTCGCCTTTTGTACAACGATTTCCTCGCTTCCCCAGAAGCTCCTCAGTTTGACAGTGTTCCCCAAGACCTCCGTGAACTTGATTACGAGCGGTCGCTCTCGGACCGAAACATCGAGAAGGCCTTTATGGGTCTTTCCAAGAAGAAGTTTGAGGAGCGTGTGAAACCTAGTTTGCTTGCACCCACCCAATGCGGAAACATGTATACTGCTAGTGTTTACTCTGGCCTTGTATCCCTGCTTTCCAATGTCGATTCGGACACCCTTCAAGGCAAGAAGGTTGCCTTGTTCTCCTATGGGAGTGGATTGGCGAGCAGCTTGTTCTCCTTGACGGTTAAGGGTAGTACCAAGGAGTTTGCCGAGAAGGTCAACCTCAAGGAGAGGCTTGAGGCGAGGAGGGTAGTTGAGCCCCAGGTTTATGACGATGTAAGTTGACTGCTATTCCACTGTTCATTGGGATTTGCTCTAATAGCCATCCTCCCTCCGCCCCCTTAAGATGTGTGAACTCCGCCACCTAGCTCACGGAAAGAAAGACTTTGTTCCCCAAGGGAGTGCTGAGACCATCAGCAGAGGTACTTACTACTGCCTCAGGGTGGATGAACTTTTCCGAAGGGAATACCAGAGAAAGGAGTAAAATAAAATAAAATCATCTTTTCCTTTGTTAATGGGGAGATATCCCGTAATCTTTTAGACGAGGCTTATGCTCAGACATGCCATGTACGAAAGATAAATCTGTGTACGTAATGAATGTCGGGTGTCGGATTCCATTAATGGCTGTGGAGTAAAATTCATCTAGTCCCCTCCATTGTACCCGGAGTGATTTCAGAAACCACTCTCCCCCCGCCTATACCGTATCAGTGGTTCCAGGTACCGGTATGCAAAGTTAGGGCGTATATCGGCGGCCGCTTTCAACTCTTTGACGATGGTGATGGTGATGATGAAAGCTCACTTGGCTTCTTACGTTTGGGATGACAATACGGCATGGTGACACTGGGGCTCGTAAATTCTTTACGCCCTGTGAACCCTTATTTTACTCTGTGTTGATGCCCAGGGCTCTCGGACAAAAAGTCAATGATCGCCCCATCGGTTAGGGGGGTAACAGAAAAAGCGTCCAAGCCAATTTTTTACCGATTGGGGGGAGTTGGGGGAGTTGGCGAGGGTGCAGGTGAAATGAGTAAATGCCGTAGGAGACCATCTCAGCTCGGACGGGGGACGAATCCTACGCACGAAAACTCAATTGATCCAATCGGTCTGATCGAGGACCGTACAGTACAGTAGGGTGTCACAATATTGTTTAAATGGGTACTGGCCGGTACTGACGACCGTGGACAGGGGTGTCCTTTTCCTTCCTGGATGCATGCATGCAAGGAACGGGTGACGGGGGCCGGGTAAGGGGGGGGGGGGGGAGTCAGGTGTGGTTCGCTGTTGGATACTCGCACACCAGTCAAAGTTACCGCTATCAATCTCGGGTACGGTACGAGTACTCGTACAATACTGTGGATCGATGATGGGATCTGCGGTGCTGTAACGGGTCTGACACGACGTGAAGGGTTGCTCCCATTCCCGGTTGGACTTGCGAGGTTTGTTTTACGACAAGTTCGAGCGTGGCGGCATTTTCACCGTGGTGTGTGCACGCATGATTTATCGACCCGAGGGCCCTTCGTTCCGGTGATATTCTTTTCTTCTCCTTCTTCCTCTCTTTCCTCCCCTTCTGTTTGTTGGAATGCGATATGATGGGAAGGGCCTTCTGTGGCAATGGGGTGATGGCGATGGTGTTTGTTGAAACAGTGAGAACGGAATGATGGTTTTGGAACTGGTTGAGTGACGAGAAGAATAATGAATTGCTTGATTGACTTCTCAGTAGAGAGCGAACTACCCAGACTATCTACTGTTCAGAGCGAGACACAAGTTGCGAGTAAATCAACAGTAGGAAGTAAACAGAAACAGAGAGAAGAAAAGAAAGGCAAGGAGGTATGTTCAATAGTACCAATATTGTAAGAGGGTTTTGAGATGGCGATCAAGACTAATGCAAGGAGAAAATCAATAGTGCGAGTGATACTACGGTAGTGCCAGAAGCATATTTCAACACTCCCCCTCTTCTGCCATACCGTGAGAAGGAAAAAATAAAAATAAACAATAAAGGAAAGTCTTTGAACATCATCGAGCACCGGTAAAACCCCCTATCCATAAGTGTCTCAAGGGGGAAAGGTATACTCTCAGCTCTTCCTTAGAACAGTTAATAACAAAAGGAAAAACATTTCAAACAAACAGGCCTGATATCTAACCCC